TAATACAACTTTTCCCATCTTGTAAAAAAAAACTAAAAAGATATTGCATTCTAAATTAGTAGCCTACTGTATGCAAAGTTTGTATGTTCTTACTCTAAACATCCAGGTGATTTGATCCCATAACACAAAATATTATGTGGAAATTTTAAGAAAACAAATCTAATAATTTAAATGATTTAAACCCGACTATTTTTTAATACGTGGGTCGTTATAACTGACGTTCTCAACTACTTTCTTTATTACTTTCTCCCGCCCGCAACATTTATGTTTTGTCCCGCTCCCGCCCGCAAAAATACTTTTTTTCTGTACCTCCAAATACTTTTAAGTTAGCCTACGTGTCGCCACCATACACAGGAGCATAAATGCTCCTGATAAATTATTTGTTATTAAAGCATTAACACAAACCACTGTTAGACATAAAAGCAAGCAGCTCCTGCGTCCATGGTTTGGCATGACTGCGCGCCCTAATTCCTAAAAAGCTGACATCAGTTCATCGCGATCTCACACATCTCTGTTATTATCAATGAAGCTTTCATAATATATACACTTTGTTTGTTATAATTAGAGGATTTGCCAACATACAGAATTCAGCACTGAACAAAAAGTCAGTTTTGAGCGGTGAGGGAAGTCTATCGTAACTGCTTCTGATTGGCCATTGCGTTCCTAGAAATCAACACATATGTCTGTGATTGGCTACATCGCTCAACGCTGCAAACATGTTAGAAATAGAAACATCTGGCCTGTAAATCGTTTCTATTTTGTTTTAGTTGTTCTTATTGCTTTTCTGCAACAGATGAATAAAAATGTATTCGTTTTTATGTTTTATTCATAGATATTTCTAGTTTGCGGGAGTCCCGCAAATCGTTTTATTCTCCCTCAACCCGCACACACAGAGTGAGTGCATTACCGCCCGCGCTCCCTCTTATGACGAATAAAAAATACACAATAATTGATTTTTTTTTTCCACAAGTCATTTCAAGTAAAAAAGTCCGAGTCAAGTCTAAAGTCACAAGGAGCAAGTCTAAAGTCAAGTCGAGTCTTTTCAGAGATCTAGTCAAGTAAGTCTCAAGTCCAGAAAATTGCGACTCGAGTCTGACTCGAGTCAAGTCATATGACTCGAGTCTCCCACCTCTGATGATTAGTATCGCTGGATTGAGTTATCTGAGATAATTGCGCGTTCATGCGCTGGGTTAAAAGGGGATATGTATCGATAGTAGAAACATTGATCAGCAACGCTGCTATTGGCTGCTCACCGTGGCCAAAGAGCGTGCTCAGTTTTACTCTGCAGCAGAGCAAGAGCTAATGCTAGAAGGTTATGCTGAATTTGAAAACTTAATTACAAGTTTTCACCTAAAATGTGCAAAGCCAGAAGAGAGGGCTGGCAAAAAGTAGCAAATTAAGTTTGTAGTGACCATTTAGATGTTGTTATCACTTATTACAGTAGCTATATGTTTTTTTATTTTAATCATTTCTAAATAATTAATAACTTTGTTCATTGTAATGTCAGTCACCACCCACTACTAGAACATGGGAACAAGTAAAAGTGAAGTACTAGAATATTCTACATAATGGTAATTTGTACTATACTATAGTCTCTTTTAAAAAGGCACTGATAATAAATGTTTGGTTGTTTATAAAAGCAACCAAGAAAAAGGCTGAGAAAAAAAGAAAAGAAAAACAAACAGGTGGTGTTTGGCACCCCCACATTATACCCCGGCAGAAGAGCTGGCCCTTGGGTTAAATGTGAACCGACCCGTCCTGGGTTCAGCTCTTCCTCAGACACACAGCAGGGACCAGTACCAGCAACTCCTTCATTACTGGTAAATGAACTTTAAATGATCTTACACTGTAAAATATTTTTTTGCTGCACTATAGGCCTATAATCCCAATGGCTGGTCCAGTCATATCAACTGTTAAACCTTGAGTAGGCCTAGTGATGAATTGCTTACTTGTGAAAGTGTGCATGTGTGAAACTACATGTAGCCTAGTTAATGTAAAAAAAATATGTTGCCATGAGTTATTGATCACATTTCCCCCCAGTGTACTTCATTGTAATGAAATTGTGTTTTCCTCTTTTGTGCAGTTTTAAACACCAACACTTGTATCTGTTCCCAAGCAAGTGGTGGCTGAAGCATGTGAAGTGGACTTTTCCAAACTTTACATCAAAAGGGAAGAAAGTACAACACTTCGTAATGCCCATTTCCCCCCCAATGCACAGGACAGTGAAGAAACTCTCTCAGATGACTGTCTTTTGGAGAAAGTATCTTTAAATAACTTTACTTAATTTACACTTGAGTACCTATTATTTCTGAATGCAACATGTGTTGCAGGAGTCCACATCTACAGAAAGGCCTACAGAAGAGTCTGCACAAAGCAGTTATACAGAGGTGGGCAGTGTATACTTTTCCTTTTATTTTTTGTTGCATAAGGCTTGTGTTGACAGGTTTAACCCAAGCCCCCCTGCCCCTAGAAAATAGAGTATTTTGGGGGGGGAAACTTGACAACTTAAAGAAAAAAACTGGCACTATAGAGTTAGAGATAGAGTTGCTTCAAAGGAACTTCAGAGTAAGTGCTAATATATTATTTCACACAGAGTACTATTGCTGACATAGCATCTCTTATTGCAGGCAAAATATGACTTGATCACTGGCTTTTCTTTACAAAGAACAATTTAAATAAAAAATCATGTTTGTCTTGTCTTTTATTAAACCTTTAATGAAATGTTTTATATTTTTACTGATGGTGGAAATGTTGTGTAATGTCACATGTAATGTCACAGGCCCTGTCAAGTGCAACCCTCAGGCTTTTCAGACACTGAAATCTTCCCTTTAGTTGGTCAAAGTTCATTTCATTGTGTGACCTTGTCCTGGCTAGAGCTGCATTGTAACTGTGTATGTAATACAGTGAGCTTGATATTTATATTTTTCCTTACCATGTTCAAGTAATGTGCATAAATGTGAATCTCTGTACTTCCACATTTGTGATATGAACAGTCACACACCATCTAGAGATTTTAGTCTGTCAACTGCCTTTTTTTAAATTTGATATAATATTACTAATCTGGAATATTAAGAATTGTAATAGTAACTTGGCTGCACATTTACATTGTGATCCCCCTTTCTGTTCACAAAATCCCCTTCATAGAGGCCTTGATGGGAACATGTGTGCAGTCTATTGACCAATGAAGCCTGAGGGACATATCTGTGTCATATTAATCGGCATGTTCATGATTGCATGATCTTCATTAAAAACTATAATATACCTGCGTTGGCAAAAAAAAAAAACCCTGCTATAGCCTACAACCTTGGGTCTAAACTGGCTTGGAAATGCCACAAAAAAACACCCTAAAAACTGCTTGAGCGCCAGGGTAAACTTTGTGAATGACACGACAGACAGCACTTATCAAGTTCTCCGCATCTCCAATAGTTTAAAGGAAAGAGCCACTCGCAAATAAAATCAGGACAATGCACACAGTTTGTGCTGTTATTAAAGGCCGACTCTTACGAGTCGAACATTTAATGTGCGTTTCCAAAAAATAATTGATGTAAACGACATCATCACGAGTCATGAGAAAAATGATATCTCTCAAAAAGTACATTATCGCGCTGCGTGAAAAGACTTCTCGTATCACCTCCGCTTATAAAGCCGCGATCTAATCCTGTTTACATGAAATAAGCCTGCTCACGAGCAGGTTCAAGCTAGCGCACCTGTTGCTATGACAGCAAGTCTAGGATGAGCTTCGAAGAACCAAACAATCCAAGATCATGCCAAATCGCCAACAATCAAATCCAGCTAACTGAGTTAGCGACGTACGAAGAACGGGCCCCTTGTGAGTTCTTGATGTTGTAATGTTTGTTGTTGTCTCCTTGTTCCCGTCCTGAGTTCCCTGTTCCTGTTCTGAGTGTTCTGTCGTGTACCCTGGGGTGTATTCCAGAAAGCAAGGTTAACTTACCGTCAGATAAACCTTGAACTCTTGGTTGGTTAACCCCAAACTTGCTTACTCTGGGTATGTCGGTTCCAAAACACCTGTGAGGAGTTAGTTTAATCTACCTCCTATTGGTAACCCAGAGTTAATGCGCGCGCACGGCGAGTACATAAAGACATTTTCAATGGATCGCCGATTTCAGGAGTCACCATGGAAACCAAGGGAGAAAAAAAGCGAGCTACATACGATCCTTCAGTGAAACTGAGTTGGAGGTTTTAATGCTTGCTTATGAAGACTATAAGCCCATTATAAAAAAAAAAAAAAAAAAAAAAACAATACTGCTGCATCAGCAAAAGCAAGAGAGTTGGCTTGGCAAAAAATAACGGACAGAGTAAATGCGTGAGTTTAGAAAATTATAACTGGGCTATTTTCCCCTTTCATTGTGACGCAAAAATTTGATAATGTATCTTAATATTTTATTTATCTTTATGCCTAATAAAATGTAGGTGTACCATATTAATACTTATGATTTATTGATGTTTTCACTGTTTTTTTTCAGTGTTTTAATAAAGAAAATCATCAACACTGTCACCATTTTAAAAAGGCATTTTGAATGCATTTTACAGTCATTGATTCACTTGTGCAGTATGCATGCTGCTTTGACTGCATATGCTGTATACTGTAATCTTATTACCAGTACTCTTAAATGTACTAATGTCCTTCTTTATTAGTTGTATTTGTTTAAGAATATACATTGAGTATTGAATATGCATGATTATCTTATTGGTTTAATTATCTTGCAGTTGCTGATGGCCACATTGTATTATTGGATCCTCCTGCAACACCACACTCTGTCACAGTTGTAAGTGATTATTGTCTTTAGGTTTCTGCTGCTAGACCAAGCAACCTTCCTTATTTTCACTGTAGGATGACGATGAAGAGACCACTTCTGCTGTGACAGAAACAGAAAATGTGGGGAGGCCCATAGAGGTTTGATGCATATAATGCATTCCCCCTTTTTAACATATAAGATAATAAATAAATTGTCATTGTCATTTTACAGAATATGGCAGCAGAGATTTTAATACAGCCGAGGGTCCATCTACCTCCACACAGAATCTTAGCAGTGTAAGAAATGTTCTGCAGTTCTCCTTCCTCATTTAAATATTTGGTCTGTGTTTGTATTACAGACTTTTTCAGTCATGTTTAATTATTCTGTCTTTCTAGTTGCCTGCCAAAGAGCTGTATAAGGTCCACCTTCAAAAGCAAATAAGAAAAGGTGACAGGAGATGGACCTTATACAGCTTCAAATGGAGGAGAAAAGGCTTAACCTAAAAAAGGCCAGACTTGAAATTGAATTGCTGGAGCACCAGCTTAAGGTGGGGAACAGTATGTGAACATTAATCTGTCATTTGTTGTTGAATGAAATCTAAAGCAATAAATACAAATGTATTTTGTTACAGGAAATAAAGAAACAATGAACAACACTGTTAACTGGTTTTAATTAAAGTGATTTTGGCAAATCATGTCTCATACCACCCTGCCATCTTTTTGGTCTACTGGGTTCACTGGGTTCACTGCTCCGGAGCAGGTTATGTTCCAGGGTTAGTTTGTTTCAGAGAGGTGACAGAGCATGGCGTCCCCTGACCATTTTAGTTACATATAGCACTACTTAATCTAACCCTACTTTATACAGTCACAATAATTTTAAATGTTTCTAATTATATAACTTTCAATTTCAGGGTTCCCAAATGTGATTGGGTGCATTGATGGAACCCACATTCACATTAAAGCTCCTTCCATCAATGAAGGAGACTATGTAAATAGGAAGTCAATGCATAGCATCAATGTGCAGGTGACAATAGATTTTTTGGATGCTAAATGTTTGGGTGTTTAAACCATTAAATCACCCTCATCACTGGTCCCCACTAACTAGGTAATATGTGGCCAAGAGGAACCCCCAGTGAACCCAGTAGACCAAAGAGATGGCAGGGTGGTACAAGACATGATTTGCCAAAATCACTTTAATTAAAACCAGTTAACAGTCAAGTGTTGTTCATTGTTTCTTTATTTCCTGTAACAAAAGACATTTGTATTTATTGCTTTAGATTTCATTCAACAACAAATGACAGATTAATGTTTACATACTGTTTCCCACCTTAAGCTAGTGCTCCAGCAATTCAATTTCAAGTCTGGCCTTTTTTAGGTTAAGCCTTTTCTCCTCCATTTGAAGCCGTATAAGGTCCATCTCCATGTCACTTTTTCTGATTTGCTTTTAAAGGTGGACCTTATACAGCTTTTTGGCAGGCAACTAGAAAGACTGAAAAAGTCTGTAATACAAACACAGACCAAATATTTAAATGAGGAAGGAGAACTGCAGAACATTTCTTACACTGCTAAGATTCTGTGTGGAGGTAGATGGACCCTCATCTGTATTAAAATCTCCTGCCATATTCTGTAAAATGACAATGACAATTTATTTATTCTCTTGTGTAAAAAAGGGGGAATGCATTCTATGCATCATACCTCTATGGGCCTCCCCACATTTTCTGTTTCTGTCACAGCAGAAGTGGTCTCTTAATCATCATCCTACAGTGAAAATAAGGAAGGATGCTTGGTCTAGCAAACAGAAACCTAAAGACAATAATCACTTACAACTGTGACAGAGTGTGGTGTTGCAGGAGGATCCAATAATACAATGTGGCCATCAGCAACAGCAAGATAGTTAAACCATGATAATCATGCATATTCAATTCTCAATGTATATTCTTAAGCAAATACAACTAATAAAGAAGGACATTAGGAGCATCTAAGTACTAGTAATAAGATTACAGTATGCAGCATATGCAGTCAAAGCAGCATGCATACTGCACAAGTGAATCAATGACTGTAAAATGAATTCAAAATGCCTTTTTAAAATGGTGACAGTGTTGATGATTTTATTTATTAAAACACTGACAAAAACAGTGTAAACATCAATAAATCATAAGTATTAATATGGTACACCTACATTTTACTAAGCCACTTGTCTTGGTAGCTGAGTCTGACGAACTGCCCCCTGGAATCCCATCGACCCAACACAGTCTCATGAAAGTGCGTATCTATACCACGAATGTCATTTCTCGTGCCATTTATACGCCAAAAATGTTTTTTTGCGTGCATATGCTACGCACTGAAAACCCCTTGGGTAGGTTTAGGGGGGAGGGGGGGTGGGGAGTGCGTGCGTATTACACGCCATAAAGTGGGGGTGGGGAGTGCGTGCGTATTACACGCCATAAAGTGCGTATCATATGCACGCGAAAACTGCGTATCATACAGACGCAAAAAACATTTTTGGCGTATAAATAGCACGAAAAATGACATTCGTGGTATAGATACGCACTTTCATGAGATCGGGCTGATCGACCACAGGTGGCCCTTTATTAAGGGACAGTGCCAGCTCCTCAGCTCCCTTCTTTCTATTGGCTACATAGAAAACTAAATTACATTTAATACTAAATTAGTATTAAATGTCAGTAACAAGTTTAGTAAGTTTAGAAAATATTACCTTGCTGGAGAATGTTTTTGTGTTTCATTTTGACTTGGCTCACACTTCTTCTGGCTCCAGAAGGATTACACCTGATAAAACTAGAAGCCAACATATAACTAGCCAATTATGTGCATTACTACTGTAATATTAAAAAATGTATGGAGGCCAACAAGTAAATACTTGTCTATTTTTACTACATGCCCCCAAAGAATTTTTGCGTCACAAATTATAGTAGGCTATTTTCCCCTTTCATTGTGACTCACAAAGGGAAAACTCAAGCATTTACTCTGTCCATTATTATTTGCCAAGCCAACTTTCTTTTGCTGATGCAGCAGTATTGCTTTTTTATTTATTTTTTTATTTATTTTTATAATGGGCTTAGGCTATAGTCTTCATAAGCAAGCATTAAAACCTCCAACTCAGTTTCACCGAAGTATCGTATGTAGCTCGCTTTTTTTCTCCCTTGGTTTCCATGGTGACTCCTGAAATCGGCGATCCATTGAAAATGTCTTTATGTACTCGTGCGCGCGCATTAACTCTGGGTTACCAATAGGAGGTTGATTAAACTAACTCAACATAGGTGTTTTAGAACCGACATACCCAGAGTAAGCAAGTTTGGGGTTAACCAACCAAGAGTTCAAGGTTTATCTGACGGTAAGTTAACCTTGCTTTCTGGAATACACCCCTGTTTGTTTGTTTATTAAAGTGCTTGCGATTGGATTCAATCTCCGCTTCATTCCTGCCTGCATCTTCAGTAGCGCCTCAATGCAGTACATGAGATCCACGGGGAGGAGTCGGATCAAGATCCAAGTGGTGGAGATGGGTAGGATTAGGGGTGGGTTTAGGGATTAGGGGTGGGTTTAGGGATCAGGGGGCGGAGATGGGTAGGTTTAGGTATATGTAAGGTGGGAGGAGTTGGATCTGGATCCGACTCCTCCCCGTGGATTTCATGTTCTGCAGTGAGGAGCATCTCTGCATCTTTACAGAATGTGCATGTTCTCAATATATATTGATATATGTGCAATATATGTACATATATTTCGATATAAACAATATATGTACATATATTTCGATATAATTTTACATTATATCGTATGTATATATTTCCATATAATTGTACATATATTTAAAATATATTCCACAATATATTGAACACATATCTATACATATATTTTATTTATATATTTCCATATAATTTCATATATATATATATATATATATATTGAAATATATTCTACCATATATTGAACATACATGGGACCCTATATCTTTACATATATTACCAATACATTATTCCATACAAATTGTACATTATGGTGGATAATTATAAGTATAAAATTGCATATATTTTCGGATAAATAATTACATATATTATATATTCATATATTTCAATATATTGAAAGCGGCAATCATTTGTATATTTTGCAATATATTACAATATATTTAATATATTGTAGAATATATGTATCATCAATATATTACTCCATGCATTTCCAATATATAATATATTGGAAAATGGGAAGGAAAATAATATATTACAAAATATTACAATATATTTCAAGTAATATATTGGTAAATATATTTTTCTTTCATAAGGGTTGGTATGCTAATCCAAGATCAGCATAGACTAATAAGAATAAAGTGCAACCTCTTGTGTACTTGTGAACTGTGTTTGTTTTAATCTAGAGCTCCAAAGAAATTAAAATATTTGTATAATATCAGGTGTCTGAAGATCAAGATCCCAGTCATTCAAAGGTGATGTGTCTGAACAAAGCAAGATTATTGTCTGATGGGGACAGTGGATCTCTAGTACTGCCACTTCATCCTCTGTGACAGCATCAGAATTTTGTTTATGGAAAAGTTTCTCCACTCCCTGGATAACGAGAAAGGAAATGTATTATAATCTAACAATTCAAACTGCTTTGAACTCCCACATAACAAATTGCAGACTTAAAATATTGATTTCAAACAAATTATATATATATTTTTAAGGGATTTTACAGTACTAAATAAATATACCTCATGCACCATTTATTATCTGTAATACTGTTGTGTAACCAGTAGATGACTGTATAGCCCTATATATATATATATCCATGACTGTGTGTATTCCCTGGTTGCTGGATGTTTTCAGTCATAATTACTTGCATGTATTAGGTTTTGCATTTGGACATATATTTATTATTAAAGACTATTAAAGATTTTAAAAAAATCTCCGAAATGTTCATTTGAATTGAGCATTTTAAAATTATTAATATTCAAATATGGACACAAAAAAAATTTTGTTACTCATATTAGCTACGTATAATAGCTTGATCAGTCACACAAAAGTAATCAGAATAAATATTAACTCACTGCGACCAGGGCGATACTTCAAAATAATTGAGTGTTTACATATCATGAACCGAGACGTGGTCTGTGGTTAAGTCGTGTCTCTCCTCTTTCAAAAACTATGCATCGCAAATTAATCAGCAATTTAAAAATTCAGGTATAAATAGCTTTATTTGGTATGGTAAAACGGCTTTACATTGCCAAAGTTGAATCAGGCAGTGATTGACAGCGCTCTGGTCCAATACCATTGGTTGTTGTTTGGGGTAGCTGGGGGGAAATATGATCTAATCAAAGTAAATATGATCTAATTGAAGACTGTAACCATATGTAGATAAACAGGCCCTGTAATGATTGTGCTAAATCAAGACAACACTGCTGTATAATGTTATGGGCTCTCACTGAGCTCTAAAATACCTATCCACCTGAAAAAACAAGTACTGTATTAAAAACAGTATTAGTATATTAAACCTTTTTAAAAAAAAAAATCTGACTTACCACGAGTATCCAGTATCCTGATAGC